GACGGCGCTAGCGGCTTCGTGCCCACCCGTCGCAGGGACTCGAACCTGGCGACCTTTGGGCGTGGGACTCGGCTCTCCAGCCGCCCAATCGCCGGCCGTCGGTCGGCCACTCCTCGGAGTCGACGTCGTGTCGGCGAGGCCGGGCGACACGGTGTTGGTGAAGATGCGACGCGACTTTTCGGACAAACAGTGGGGCTTCTCTCTCTACGGCGGCGCCGAGTTCGCATCTCCTCCCTTCGTCAATCGAGTAGGCCTTTTTCCTCCCTCCACTTTTGCCCCCACCGGCCGCGACCCTCGAGTCCCCATTGTTTCCCCTTCCTCCCCCCTCGCCCCCCATTCGCCGTCTCCTTTTCACATCTGAATCGTGTTGCCGGGACGCATTTGTCCGAACTCCTCTGTCCGAGTGTGCGTCTCCTTTCGCCAACACCGCGTTTACACCAAGTCACAGGCCAACAAAGCGGCAAACGACGTCCAACGGTTGTGCAATCTCTTCGTATCCCCTTTTGGTACCTCTCGCCGCCCACTCCCTCTCGAGCACAACTTTTGTCTTCTCCAAAGTCGGACACCCTTTCGCGTGGTCTACAGAAGCGTAATCCCATCTCCAGCTCGTCTTCTCTAAACCAAATAGGCCAGTATAAGCAAGTTACAAAGTTTTTATTCACTGCAAGTTGTGAAGTAAGCTACAGAGTTATACAGCTTTAGATTATGCTAATAATATCGGAAAAAAGTTGTATTTCATTATTCTAATTACAATTCTAATTAACATTTTAGTTAGGATTTTAGCTATAGTGAGAGTATTGCAGTTTCACTTTAGTTTCAGTTTGGGATTTACGATTATGGTATTGTTAATGCCATAATTATATATTGGCTATTATTGCAGACACACTTTTATAGTTATGGTTATATTGTTATAGTGATATTTGTAGTTAGCATTATACAACTATAGTAATAGACATAGATTGTTATACAATTAGTCACAGTTATTTCATAACTATGACTAAATATAATTTTAGTATATAGTGTTATATAGCATACACAAGCGTTGGCCAATAGATGGCTTCACTGGTCGCCTTGACAACACCAAGTCCACGGTGTAACGCTGAAAATTGGCATGACTACTTTGGCAAGGAGTCTGGACAATTGGCACTAATCGAGTTCGCCCTAGCAACACGAGCAATTTTCGAAAACGGGACCAAACGACTTCAAAATTGGTGAAACGAGACCACATTAGAGGTTGTTTGACCTTGTTTTCGCAACATGGTCATATTGGT